GGACTTTCCGGAGAGGGAGCCATCCCGCAGGTGAGCAGCACAGACTCATAGGCCTGGAGCCTGCGTGGAATAAACAGGGAAGGGCTTGCTGCTTCCTGCCTGCCATGGGAAGAACTCTTTCTGCCTGCCGGGCCGCATACCCTGGAGCCGTGAGCCAAATAAACCTGCCCTCCTTTGACCTGTGGGTGTCAAGTGTTTTGCTCCGACAATGAGAAATATGTATGTATGACAGCAGGATTGTGAAAAACCAGACCGCAGTTAAAAGTTGCAGCTTGAAGGGAAATTGAAAGAAGGACCCTCTGGGTCTGGTATGGTTTTGTGCATTCACCTATCTTCATACTGATGAGTGTAAAATCAATCACATATATCTAGACTCAAAGTGGGCAGATTTTAGATGCAATGCAAGTATCACTACATGTTTTATGGCACTAATGCAATCACGAAGCTGGGGACCTGGGCTTAAAAAGGTACCTGAAATTCCTAAGTTGCTTGATTTTCGTTCTTTCATTTTAGGAAGAACATGGCCTTTGCTGGGTAGAGCTGGGCGGCAGCAAGGAGAATTTTGTAAATGTTAAATTTCCAAAGTTCAGTGCTCCTTGGTGGATTCCATGCTGACGAACCCCAAGGGAGGTGAAGACACTGTAGGTCAAATGCACTTAACGCAGCCACCCTAGCAGCACCCCAGTCCTCTGTGACCCCGGGACAGAGCAGCAGCCCACAGCCACCCAGCAGATTGGCACTGCACACAGCTACTCCCGCCCGGTGAAGGAGTTTCCCTCTGCAGCATGCTGAAGTAACTAATCAGGGCACCGCTGCGAGTGGGGACCCTCTGTGTTTTAAAGAAAAGAGAAAGCACGGCCATTCACCCTGGAGCAAAGCACTGAGGCGGCTGGAATTAGCCTAGCCTGTGCCTCCCGGAGCATTCACCTGCACAAGAGGACTTCTAAGCGCCCCACCCCCTGTGAATCCTGTATCTCAGCGAAGACTGCAGCACTACCAAGATCCAAGTTTGCAACTTCAAATGCTCTTTAAATGAAACACAATAAAAAAAGTCTGGGCACTTTTTCTCTCTGCACAGAAGACGAACTCCCACTTCTACTCTCTCCACCTTGGCATAACTCCAGAGAGCAAGAGGCAACTTTCCTTGGACTCTTCAAATAAACTCTCTTAAGGGATCAGGCCACGCACAAGAAAATAGCTCAGCAGGAATTTGAAAGGGGGAGAAAAAAGGGTGAGAAACCAGGAATAAAAGCAGGAAAGAGCCGGAGCAAAACATCACGGACACGTAATGTAACACACGCACCATCACCGTTAGATATTTGAATGGAATCAGGGACCAGGAGCCAATTTAAAAAGTGGAGATCTGGCAGGGGCAGTTTTAAGAGAAGGACTGTGTGCTGGGTGGAAGGATGCAGGCCCTAGTTTTGGATAAGCAAATCTAGGAATGGTTTGTAATTTATGAGAATCTGTTTTCAGCCGGCTGAGAGGCGGCCTGAAACTGTGTTATCAGTCAGGGCTGCTGATGGATGGGGCGGTGGAAGCCCTGGGGCGGGGGGCAGGAGAGGAAAGGGGGAGCCCTGCAGTCCCCTCCACCACCACACTCCTCTCTGGTATGTGTGCAACACTGGGAAGCTTCAAATGCACGCAAGTCAGTTCCCAAATGCCCCAGCAGCTCCAAAAGCCGCTTGCAGATCTCAACTGCGGATTCTCCGTGGAACACGCCTGCCAGGAGGGAGCAGGTGGCTCTTGAGACCAGCTCTTAGAAACACCCAAACTCAGTACTGGCCAGTTCTCCACCGACCTTTGCCAAGTTCCTTGCATTGCTCAAGAGCTCTTAACTAAGTCTTCCTTAACAACGAACACTGAAATGAAACAGCATTTACAGGGATTCTTTTAAACCGAGCTGGCGGTGTGTGAGGGGACCGCGCTGCCTGGCCCCATGGCCCCTCAGAGATTCCTCGGTATTTGTGTTGCTGAGCTTTTACTCATGGCACCATGAATACGCTTTTCACTCTTCTGGGGCTTCACTCTCAGCCGATGCTGCTGCTTTCTGAATTTTCTAAGAAAACACAATCACTTGGAAGGGAATGTCCCAGAGAGCCAGATCCCTAATGCCCTCCCTCACCCCGACAGCGCCACCGTGGGGTTCTGGCCCGGGTGAGCGCACCTCTCCCAACGCTAAGCCACTGCCCAGGAACCATTTCCTCCTTCCTCCTCCTGACTTCCTGCACCCTACTTACTTGGATCTTAGAAGTAAATTCTGTGTGAAACTGTCTCCCCCACCTCTCTACACCCAAAACCCCAGGCACCAGCCCTGCCCGTGTCCCGGCTCCAAACTGCTTCTCCTGGGGCACTGTCTCGGCCCGCTCTGTGTGGCTGTCACAGCACCTGGCCGTTTATCCAGGTCACGGTCCAGAGGCTGGGGAGTCTATGCCTGGGGGGTATGGTCCAGACTCGGAGGGCCTTCTAGGTACATCAAACTGCAGTGCAGGAGCTCGGGGTGGGTGCACACCTATAACCCCAGCACTCCAGAGACGGAGGCAGGCGGATTTCAAGTTCGAACCCAGTGTAGGGAAATTAGTGAGTCCTCTCAAAATAAACGGGCTGGGCTCAATCCCTGGCACAAGGTGTCCCCTAAGTGAGAGGCCTCAGCCCTGTGATAGCTGCACGTACTAGGTCACTTTCGGGGAACCACGTTCAAGACCCAGCAGTACTCAGCATCTGACACTGGGCATTTACTTGCCTACTAGTTTAAAATATGTAACTCCCATCCCTCAAGTCATGCGATCTTTGTTTTGTTTACATCTTCTAACCCGGTGCAGCACGTAAAAGGTGCTTAATGACCACTGATCAATCAACTGTCAGTATGTGAGTCAGAAGGAAGGTTGGAAAAACTGCTTCTGTATTCACTAAGAAAGAAGCATAATAATTCTATTACTGCTGGGTGGTGGTGCACACCTGTGATCCCAGCACTCCGGGAGGCTGAGGCAGGAGGATCCCAAGTTTGAGCCCAGCCTGGGCAACTTAGTGACTCAGAAAGACCTTGTCTCAAAATAAAAAATAAAGGAGGGCAGGAGATGTAGTAGCTCAGTGTAAAAGGCCCCAGGTTCAGTCCCTGGCATTACAACAAAGAATCAAAGAAACTGATTACCGATGGTGGCACTGGATCCTTGCAACTGCTCCTTATCAGAAACAATAAAGTAAGGTCCCCGCAGGCCAGGGAGGCAGGGGGTCCTGGCAGGGGCAGGGCTCTGGGACCCAAGCCAGCTGTCCCCTCAGTCTGCCCCTGTGCTTCTTTGCTGTCCCAGCCGCACAGCCGGGGGTAACAGAGTTCCCATCAGAGCCACGTTAAGAAAGGGACCAATAGGGCTGGGGATTTAGCTCAGTTGTTCCACCGCCTGCCTTGCAAGTGCAAGGTCTTGAGTTCGATCCCCAGTACCAAAATAAAAAGGCGGGGGGGTGACCAAAAAGGGTCAGAAGTGCGTGGGGAACAGGAGCCCTCTGTACCTGTGACTTGAACAAAATGCAAATCTGACTAAACAGGCACATGCTTTTTATCACCGCCATTCCTTGAACAATATACAAGCAACTGTATCAGTATGGAATCATTTACATATCACGTGCATAGCATCAGGCATTACAAGTCAGCTAGAATCGGTTTAGAGGACACAGAGGATGTGTGGGTTTCATGCGAATATCACCCCCTTTATGGAAGGCACTTGAGCACCCACAGATTTTGGTGTCCACAGGAGACATGCTGGATCCAAGCCCACAGATACCAAGGGACCCTGGAGGTGTAATTCCCTTCTGTTTTATTTTTCCCTGGCTACAAAGGCATTCATGTTTAGTTTATAATGAAGTACGCAAATCAGAAAGTGAAAATACCCCTCTATCCCATCACTAAAGTAACCATTCACACTGGTGATGGACCTTCTGGGCCCTGCACACACGAGTGACACACTTCCCTCTTCTTCACTCGAGGCAGTGTGAACAGTGGAAGGAGCACTGACTCACGATGGAGCTCTGTGGGTGTGCTCCAGGGACACACCTACCCCTGAGATCTTCCTGCCCTGCACCCAAGCTTGTGGCTGAAGCTTTCTGAGAAGCTGGAGCGTTGAGGGCCGGCTCCGTGCGGTGCCAGCTATGGAATTTCCCACAACTCACTCTGATCTGCTCCTATGAGCCTCCATCTACAGCTCTTCTGTTATTTTTTCTTTTTTAATGAGAAATATTCTGATTTAGCTTTTTTTCCCCTAGAAGTGGATTTTATCTGCTCCAGAAAGACTTCAGAATCTCTAGCCAATTAAACAATAACTGAACCCACTACGTACTAGACCAGATTGTGTGCCATGTGCCAGGCAGATTTTGGCTGCATCACTGACCTGGAAGCCAGTGTGTCATCCCTAAGAAACGGAGGACCTGCAGCTCATTCCAGACGCAGCAGACCGCCTGCTTGTGTACCCGGCTCTGATAGATAGGATTTCTCCCCCTGGTAGAGCCTGGCTGGGGTCCTAGAAGTAAATATTCTGTCCTCTGGCTTCTCCTCCAGGTTTTAATGTTGATAAGAGACCTGGGCTTTGGGGAATACAGTTCTCTGTAAGGACTAAGACCCTTCAGCTTCCCAGGAATAAGGGAAGGGTTAGGGCCTGTCTGAAACTCAAGATTCTTCTTTTGTAAAATCTGAAATAGAGGCTGGTGCAAGGTGTAACATCCCTGCAACTTTGAAGTGAGCTTGCTGGGTGTGGGGGTGCCCGCCTGTGATGCCAGCACTCGAGAGGCACTCCTGACAGGTGTACACAAGATAAAACGGGGAGAAAAAGGGGTGGGGATCCTAGGACCGGAGAGAAGAAACAAGATGTTACCCCAGAGCTGGAAGTAGCAGGGGAGTCATTACGAGTGTTTATACTGGAGGCACAGAGGAAAAATCGAAGGCAACACATGGATTCAACTTGAGCGTGGTGAAATACAGTTTACCTTTATAAAACTAACAAGTCACTGACCTGAATTTAAGTCTCGTCCCGGATTGAAGGCCCGGCTATTAACAGTAGTAGAGAGTCGATCACAACTAATTGTTCTAGATACATTGGTATTAAAGTTCCCATCGAATCTGAAACAACAGAAGAGGATTAGCAGTGATTACTTGGTGGTTATCTAACTTGAAAACCAACTAAGGAAAGTAATGGTTCACAGTGAATGTGAAACAGCTGGGGCCCTGACTAGCTGAAGATGGACTTAACACTGACAATGTAATATGAAAAAAAAATTCAGCACAGAAAGCCAACCTGCATGTAGAAGACTTATAAGTCAAATTCAATGTGGAAAATTTAAAAACAGCTCACTGTAGGGGAGATGGCACTTTCTAATTTTAGCTACTTGAGAGGCTGAGACAAAAGAACACAAGTTCAAGGTCAGCCTGGGAGTTCTATGAGATCCTGTCTAAAAATAAAAAATGAAAATGGGTGTAGCTCAGCGGTGGACCACCTGAGTTCAACACCAGTACTGCAAAAACAAAACAGTAGGGCATAGTGGCCCATGCCTATAATTTCAGCACTCGGGAGCCTTAGGCAGGCAGATCATTGCGAGTTCAAGGCCAACCTGGGGTATGTAGTGACTTCAAGGCCAGCAGAGAGATTCTCTCTCTCAAACAAAATGAACAAAACAAAAAACCCCAAAATGAAACAAAATACCGACCTTTAAGCCAATTATTCCTCAATGAACTTGATGGTACTATTGATAAAATCATACACAAAATAGATGATACAATTCAGACTGGAATTTTTAAGACTTCTCACTGGAGCCCTGATGCTTGATGTGAAGCGGAAATCTTCAACCAATCTCATCTGAAAACCACAGTGCGTGGCCAGAAAGTGCAAGGGTAGCCCTGGAGAAGGCCAGGGCCCGAATGTGCACTGTCCCTGCTGAATGTGACAGTGGACAATCAGGCCATTTTCTAAGCCTCGATTTTCTAATCTAGAAAAATAGATGCTATAATTTATTTCCCCAAACTGTCGAAAATGTTAAAGGTAATAACACGAAGGAGACACAGAGCTTGCTCTTGCTGGACTGTAATGCAAACAGGGCCAGGTCTTCTCTAGACGATTTCCCTGGTTCCCTGGATCAATTCCTAACGGTATCTCGGAATCCCACTCCTCGCCAGACAAAAGCATCGGGAAGGCAGAATGGCATTGTGCCCACAAAGACGCCATTGTCGTCGTCGAGAGCATGTGAAAGTCCACTCGGGATGTCCATCGTGGACTGCACCGGGTTTCAGATGCTGAGAGGACGACGCCTATGGTTTCTGAGATAAACTAACTCGGCGTGACATTGTATTTTTAAGTGTTTCCGATAAAACGTGCAGCTCAGGTGTCCCCAATGAATTCCATGAACTCACGGCTGAGGAGAATTCCCCGTGATCGAGGTCCACACGACTGCTCCCAGGTCTCTGCTGGCTGCATCTCAGAGAGGGTACAAGCGTGAAACCAACCAGACTGCATGGGCAGTGGCTAGGTTACCGCAGGGGGCGTCGACCGGGCCAGCAGGAGCTGAACGATCTCATCTCGGCCCGTGGCCTCGGAAGAGGGAACTGGACCTCTGGAGCCCATAGCCTCTGCCGGGGCTCGGCAATGAGTCTGAAAGGACAGTCACTTCACTGGCGTCACTGCCCTTCCCTTTGCTCCAAGGCATTCAGACCAGCAGACTGCTGCGGACAGCCACGGCTGGGCAGGAGAGGGGACCCTCGTGCAGCGGCTGCCCTGCAGGCTTGCAGGACAAACACCACACCTTAGTGCCACCTTGGGCCAAGTCCATTCCCTCAGGAGCTTGCACTGAATAATGGCAATGGCACCTCCTTCAGGCTTCGCGGCCACGCCTGAGGCAGTGTGCTGTCTTCCGCCAAGACGCACTTTTCCAAAGCAGGTGGCATAACAGACTCGCTCTGGTCTGGGCCGAGGGCCAGCCCGAGATGAGGAACAGGGGTGTTGTTTGCAGCCTTCGTGGCTACTGAGCACGTGAGCCGTGGCCAGCTTGACCACAACACCCAACTTCCTGCTTTTAAAGCTTGTGTGAAGAGTCACCAAACAGCAGCTGCAGGGCTGGGCAGCGGAGGTCCAGAGGCTGCGTCTCTGTTCGTGGCGGCCTCCTTGGGAAGTCCTGCCCCAAGACAACGTCTCAGGTCCTGTCGAGTGCCTCGTATTTGCTCGGGCAGGCGCCACTGCATTTGTGGCCCTGGCAGTGTGTTTGTTTTATGGGTGACCCATGGGTCCCGTGGAAGGGGCGCCACGTTTCTGCTCTTGCTCTCTCTGTGTACACAAGGCTTGGGGCTGTTCCTGCCTGAAGCAGGTGACGCCCTGAGCAGTTTTCCACGAACACTCGAGCCGCCTGGGCACACAGATAGGATGTGGCTCGCCTCAAAGGTCACCCAACACCAGAACCCTCGCCACACCACGATCGCCTCAGAGGCCCCAAGATCTGAGTAATCTGAAAGAGAGAACACTGCACCTGGAGTCTCTGCAGTCCACAGCTGGCTGTGCTGTGCCGAGCGTCTTGGGTGTGCCCATGTCAAAGCAGAGAAAAGTGACAGCGAACATCACACAGCAAGTCAGGGCCCGAAGAGAGAGGCGAACCCAACGCTGCTTTCCAGGGCCGAGCCACACAGCCCTCCGCTTCCTGCGAGTGAAGCACAGGAAGGAGTCTCGGAAAGAGCAGCTCTGGAGGGCGCCGAGGGGCAGAGAGCCGGGCAGCAGTCAGCTGCAGGGGGCCAGGTGCCCCGGCTTCTGCCAAATGCACACTGGCTCCTGGGAACCGGGGAATGACGATTAGATGGTAGAATTCCTTTACAGAGAACATCATCTCAAAGCGTTAAGGGATTTTTATGACAATAAAAGTGCAAGTGACTCGTGAATCCGAGCAGGTGCTTGGTTTTGCAGCATGGCTCCAGCGGTTGCCATCTCCCGGCCTCTCCCCACCGGGCTTCCTTCTCTGTGGGCTGCCTCTGCCTGAGCTGCTGTCTGGCGTCTTCAAGGCCCAGCTCGAGGTGTAACCCTCCTGTGCCGGACAGCCCCGGAGGCTGACCAGGAGTCCTGTGTCTCCACAGCCTGGTTTTTCCGTGTCTCACGGAGTCCTCAGTGGAAGGGAGAGGTGGCTCCTGGACCTCTGCCCTCTGGATCTCACACCCCAGATGCCCCATGTCCTGATAAACACATCATGGGGTGACAGGGTTCAACACACATCTAAGGGGAACAGCCTAAGGGGAACATTCAAATCCTAGCACCAACGAAAACCTAAGGTTTGTTATAAGCGGTGCGCAAATGCATCTCCCTGCACAACCTTATTCATCTGCCTTCCTCTCTCACCAGATAATGGTGTGTTAAATACGGTGGTGAGCTGCCGATATGGCCATGGAATCCCATTAACTACCCCCCGCCCCAGCACCTGTCCCCCAATTCCGCCTAGAACCTTCCATGCCCTCTAAATGTCTCAGGTTCCCCCAGGCAGGATCTAGTTCCCTGAGAACTTGGTTCTGCCCCAGGCGTGGCACCTCGTGGGCAGTGGGGAGCATCGTGGGTTCCTGCTGGATGACGGCAGTGTGGCTCGGCACCTGTCCTGCATCCCGTACCTGCCGTAATCCGGCCAGGCAATGAAGCAGGTGGGCCGGGAGAAGCAAAGGCGCAGGCCACCACCTCCCTGCTCTTCCCCATGCTACCAGGTTCCAATACTTAGGCACAGAGCAGCGAGTCACGGTCAGACGTCACATCACGGTCAGCCACCCCAACCCCTTCCAAGGCACGATGCGTTTTGTGCACATATCTTTGCAAAAAGCCACATATCAAAAGCAACATGACACCCGGACTTGGGGCCTGTGGGCAACACAGAAGTACTCTTCAGACACGTTACAGAAATGGTTGATTACAGCTGGGGTTACCGGAACGAGTTCGTCCAGAGAGATGAATAAATGTGACTGCTGGTCACATTTCTGTAATTCTAGGTTTGCGAAAAGGGTAAGAGCTAGTAAACTCACACATCTGCTTCTAAAATGAGTGGGCGATTCCCTGGAAGAGGTTCAGTTTACTTTATACTCCTGCCGTTAAAAAGTTAGTCAAGATAACAGAAAAAAATCCTATCTAAATCTCCTTTAGACCTTGACTCTAAAAAATGGAGATATGGGACTGAAAATGCCTTCTGTACCTATTTCCCTAAGATAAAACCAGTGCCTGAAGAAAAATAACGCCATCTCTCCTAGCCCTTAAGAGGAAAAAAAACACTTCCTTCTGGATTTACTTTCAAATGATCGAAGCAGAAACCCGAGGGAGAAAACAGAGCCAGGACGCCCACTTTGATCTCTGCCCGGTGGAGAAACCGCTCTCCGCCTGCCTTCCAAGATGTGCGCGTGACTGACGCCCGCTCTGATGTGCACAAGACTTTGAACTTCAGATATTTAATTCCCATCAGGTCGTAGTCATTTTTATTCTCCTTCAACAGGATTTACAAGCAGGAGATCAGCAAATGCAGAAGATAAAATAAATCTGCGATGCTTTGAATCTTACATCAAAACAGCGTTCCAGTGAGTTCCAATTGGATTTCATTCAGCCTCAATTCATAAATCAACTGTTCAGTGGAGTCCCAGTTTAGAAGAAAAAAAAAGACTGAAAGGAGAGACACACACAGACCAGTTGGGGTTTACTTCCTGAATCTACCTTCGTCTTTGTTTAAATTTCCTAGGGAAGCTCACTGGCCAGACAAAGCGCTCAGGACTCTGGGTTTCCCTAAACACTTCCAGGGAGGCCTGGCCCAGGGCACTGCAAGGCACAGATCCCCACCCGGCAGGGCGGTGCTGAAATGCGGTATTGTTCACGGATGTGTTTTTAAGGCAAAGATTTAAACAGCAAATCCCTGTGGATTTTGCAGAAGAGCAAGGCTTAAAGTGATCGCTGGGTACAGATACAAAGCCCACGCAGTGGCAGCTTATGGGGCAGGGAGTACTGGGGGCCTGTTTGCTTATGTTTAATCACTGCTAAAACTCAGAGACAAGCGCGAAAGGTTAGCAAAAGTGATCCTTTCTTTTGAAAGCAACACCTGGATTAGTGTGAAGGCTCCGAGCCCTCCTGGTCG